TTTTTAATATAAATCCCATTAAAACAATCAAACCGTGGGATTTTTTTTGCTCTTAAATAAATAGAATATTACAAAAAAGTTTCACGTTAAGTCACTTCTCAGAACAACACTATGAAATCTGTGCTGGCTTAACATTCAAGCCAGCCGCAACGCGCGAAACGATTTATACCACCAACTCGTGCCCCACAATTGTTTCAATTGTTTCTTAATTGCTTATAAATAAAAAATAAGATAAGTCGTAGAACTTAAACCCTCGACTTACGTACGTTTATTAATAAAAAAAATAACATAAGTGGACGAACTTAAGGTAGTTGTCGTGGTACAATATTGTCAAAATTTTTTAGATTATAGGCACCGTAAAAGTATACGAGCTTGTAGCTAAGTGATTCATAATTTATTCGCAAGACTGTACCCTGGAGACGTTACCTTTACGTAATACTTTACGTAATACTTTCAAATATTTTCATAAGTTTTAATCCGGCAACGTCGCTTATGCTCAACCAATAGATATATTGGGTATAGATATAGATATATATATATAGATATATATATATATATATATATATATATATATATATATAGATATATATATCGTCACCTGAGAATTGGTTTGTGCTATCTCCATTTTTTACCATTTTGAGGTTTATGCATTTTCGGAAAGTTGAAGTTGGTTTGTTCCATCTCCATAATAGTATTTTCAAATAATAGTGTCAGTTTTTAGTTTAGGTTAGTCTAAATCCGAGTTTAGTATAAAAGGTTTAAAATTGGTTTACTCTATCTCCAAAATTTCGCTTACAGGCTTTCTTTTGCTCTATGTGTTTAAAAAATCTGAAAATAATTAGTATTTGTTTGTGCTATATCCATATGAAAAAAATGTTTTATAACTGTTTTGTGCTATCTCCAAGGAAAGCTTCCTTATAAGTATAAAATTGTTTTGTTCTATATCCACTTTAGCCAGTACACGTTTTTTCACCTATTTACATGTATATGACATTGTATTTTTACAATAATTATAATTATTATTATTAAAGTAAATCATTATTAAATAAAGTGTTTTTTAATTCAGTTTTGTTTTATGTCCTAAAACTTTGTTATATGTCCAACATTTTGTTTCTAAAATCCAAAAATAGCACTTTTTGTTTTATCTCCAAAACGTTTTTTCCAATATTGAGGCATAAATCCAAATTTTAGATAAGAGTTGCTCAATAGAACTAATTAAAGGCCAAACAAGAATATATAATAGTGTTTAATTAAGTTTTCATTAAAAAATAAATAAGATATTTAATGTAAAAGTTTCAAACCCATTTATCTCGATTATAACATATTGGACATAGAACAAATCAATACTCAGGTGACGATATATATATATATAGATATATATATATATATATATATATATATATATATACAGTGTGTCTCAGTATCTTGGAATCATATGGAAAACTTTTTTATTATTAATTTTAGGAAAAAAAGTTATTCCTTATAAAAAGTTCTGCATGGTGTAAAACTTAAAATGCAACTCACAAATATTATTTTTTTTTAGTCGTATACGGGGTATGTCAAAAAATATGAATTTGGCTCAAGAGTAAAGTACCTTTATATTTGACAATATCGAAAATTGTTATAAAGAAAAGTTAATCCGAACTAAAAACTACGTTCAAATATGCAATTACATCCATTTACATTAAAAAAAAATATTTTTTCTTTTTTGTCTACAATATCAATGCAAATTTAACTGTAACATGTAATCTATGATTCACTGATAAACAAATGATTTGTTGATATTCTAAAACTTTTTGGCCTGCTAGATCCCCTAACTTAACTTAAGGTTTTCATGTTTTTTGTAATCATAACAGATAAATGTTCATTTAAAATAGAAAGATTAGTAAAAATTAACAAAACCTAATTTTTTAATGTAAATGTATGAAATTGCATATTTAAACGTAGTTTTTAGTTCTGATTAACTTTTCTTTATAACAATTTTTGATATTGTCAAATATAAAGGTACTTTACTCTTGCGCCAAATTCATATTTTTTGATATACCTCGTATACGACTAAAAAAAATTTATATTTGTGGGTTGAATTTTAAGTTTTACACCATGCAGAACTTTTTATGAAGAATAACTTTTTTTCCTAAAATTAATAATAAAAAAGTTTTCCATATGATTCCAAGATACTGAGACATACTGTATATATATAGATATATATCAGTGTTTGAATTTACTGCGGAAATAATATCTATACTCGCGTACAGCGTTGCCAAGTTGTTCTTATCTGACACTGACACATACTTTTTACAAATTGTTGAACTTTAAACGGTTATTTATAAACAATTGGACGGTCAAAAATTTTTAATTATTTTTTTTTAAACTCAGCAAAAATACATTGAAAGACTGTTAGTTTTTTTAAAGCTTGTGACAGTTAGTTTTTTTTATAACTAAGAAACTGGTACAGAACTACAAAAAGCGTATACAATTCATGTTAATTATCCAATTTTTAATTGAATTTATCTCGGGTTATAGACATTCAATCGACTTCAAATTTTAAGGATAATTGTATTGTCATATCCTTAATAGGTATACAAAAATTTAAAATTTTCTGATGGTATGCTTACAGCACGACAACTACCTTAAACCCTCGGCCTAAGCACGTTCCCTATGAACCTCTCCAACTCCCCTCAATAATTGTAGGGCACGAATTGGTGGAAACGAAAATTGAGAAGATTTGAGTCATCTCGCGCGCTGTTTTAAGCCAGCATTTATCGCTAATTTTATACTAATTGATAAGTGGTTGTAGTGTAGCGTTTCGTGTTGCTATTGCCAGCATCCCGCATTTAGGAACTGAATTTCAAGACATCCATGTTCACAGATTGGAAAAAAAATACATTTTTTTTCAAGCGGCCATGATATACAACCTTATATGCCTGTATAGAGATAGTTGAAGTGCGTCTTTTTCATTAGCGGCAGACAAAAAACTAAAAAAAGCCTAGGGATAGAAGAAAAATCCATAGGTGTCCCAATAGACGTCAAATAATAAAATTAATTTAGCATATTATACAAAGCAATCACGATGTATTTATTATATTAATTATAATCGCACGGAATATTTAGGGATTATTTATTAAATTTTAATTGAACGAAATAAAGAACAACTAGTTTATTAGTATAATATTATGATGATAGACGAGTCGCCAATGTCGGAACTCCAAACAAATGTCAGTACGTCAAAATTAATTCAAGCGCAGCATTTTGACAGAGCAGTGTTTATTTTTAGTTTAGGCTTTGTTATCTATGGTTTAGGATATTTATAGGCATTGTAAGTAAGGGTTATAAGTTTTTTTAGTTTTTATCAATAATTTCTAATGCTTTTAGCCAAAATTTTATACCACATGAGTTAAGAGTAAATAAAATAATTCCATTGCTTATCCTATTTATATTACGCCCTTGAAAAAAAAATTGTATATGTTATTTGGAGTAGAAGCTCTTTTTGTGCTTCGTACAGTTGCCTGCCTCAGCTACGCTTCGGCCGTCAATCTCTGTACTCACCACAAAAAGAGTCGCTTCTACTCCTTATGACATAATCTACTATTCCTTATTATTTTTTAACGTTGGACGGTGTCAAAAAGACATTTTGTCATTAACAATTTATTTAAAAAATGTTGCAGTGCGCTCGTGTGGACAATTCGCATTCCGCACCGAAATTGCCGTTCAGAGGCGAGCAAAAAAACCTAACATTTAAAAAGGATCTCTATCAATTGATTATGATTAGCCTGTGCTGTGTCCAGGGCCGGATTTACGAATTTGCCGCCCAAGGGCCCAACGCATCATTACCCCGAATAACGAATGACTCAGCGAATAAGCTAGAGTCGCGCCCTTCTCGCCTCGTGTACATCGACTGCCGCCCTTCTACGCAGTGACGCACTACGCAGAATAATAGTGTAGTCTGATATAAAATTATCTAATGTATTAAAAAACTTCTTTTCCAACTTTTTATAGTTTTAATTAGTGTATAAATCTGAGTGAAAACAAAAATTCTGCATAAAACGCTCTTGATTTTTTAGCAAAATTTTAACTGGCCTTCAAAATTTGCCGCCCCTAAAAATTTGCCGCCCTGGGCCCGGGCCCATGTGGTCCATGCCTAAATCCGGCCCTGGCTGTGTCCTGTGCTATTTTTACCTGAAGAAGCGAAGTCCTTTGTTTTTAAGATCTAATTGTGCTTGAAAGTTATTTTGTGTTTGAAAAGGGCTTTAATTACCAAGCACTGTATTTTAAAAGTGCATACAAGCACTTTCAAGGCAATTACTGCCCAGCTCTGGAATAAGATATATGTACCGTAAACACGGGTGGCTTTAGCTCACTTTCAAATCTTAACATTTTTGTAGTTTTAACAATCATAAACATTAAAATTTAATTGTATTGTATACTAAAATTTGAGTCTTGAGTTGCTCTTTCATAATAACTATGTTATAATCTTACATAGTTTCAAAAATAAAAATTAAAAACTGGGTGTGCAAAGTTACTCCCTGGTTGCGGGTTACTTTGTCTCACAGTGTATTTTCCGTATAAAATTAACTAAATATTTTATTTTATTTTTATTAGACATAGCAGCGACATATAGCAATTGCAAGGGATTACCGATAAAAATAATAAAAAATCGACCTGTAGTTAACCAAGGATCATCATTCCAAAGAATTGAGCATAATATAGAAATTAAAACGCGTGTATTTTTAAGAGTTTTGCACTAATGCAATATATACAACTTTAAAGTGTAATAAATCCCATTTATTTTTTTAAAACACTATATTTCCTGTAATATAAACTCAATAGAATCGCTCAATTGACAGGTTTAGACCAACAAATTATAAATGTTAATTTTATCGAGCGCGAAATTTTTTTTCATAAAAGGGCTAAAGTCACCCGCGGGGTGCAAGTACATAATATTTATCTATTCATAACTCAAATAAAATTTTTGAAGAATTGTATTTTTATTGTTCTTTTAGGGGACCTGATATTTTAGCCAGAGATTCAAGTCCAAATCTAAGTTATGAAAATATTGGAAAACCATTCATGGAAGTGACTCTAAATGCAGGAGATATACTGTATTTTCCACGCGGTACTATTCACGAGGGTAGGACAGATCCAGACTCTCATTCTTTCCATATTACATTGTCAGTTTACCAACATACTGCCTATGCGGATCTTTTGGAACACGTTTTGCCTGATGCCCTTAAAAGAGCAGCTTTTAATGACATCGAATTTAGGTAAGATTTTTTTACTATACTTTTCTTTAAATAAAAAAACAAATAATGTTCGCTTTTTGTTTAATACACTAATAAAAAAAATAAGCATTGTGGAATGAGTTTTTGCACGATTAATCATCGATGACCGAAAAACTGTTATAAAATATGATTCATAGTGTCGGAAAGCAGGTAGTAAGAAACATGCAAATTACTACACTGTAACAGCTATACTATTATATGTTTTCTTGGAGATCGAATCATAAGGGCGACCAAAGATGTAGTAGTTGTTAAGGTACGGATTCGTTGATGCGACTCGCGGCTGCGGCTTGCGGCTGCGATCGTAGCCGCTCCACTGCTTAGTACAATTTGTTTGTATATGTTTTGGTTGACGCGTTCAGTCGCAGACTGCGACTGAACGCGCCAACCAAAACATATGCACACAAATTGTACTAAGCAGTGGCGCGGCTAAGGTCGCAGCCGCAAGCCGCAGCCGCGAGTCGCATCAACGAAACTGTACCTTTAGGGCAATTTTCTCATTCCTCATCACACATCTTTTGTTTTCTTTGTCCTAAAATTGAAATGTAATTTTGTTGAGCATTGCCATTACTATTATAATAATAGTATAATAATATATTTTTATTTATAGGAAAGGTCTGCCTTTAAACTACCTAAAACATGTGGGTCTTGTAAACAAAGATAAAAAATCTCCACGAAGAGCCGAAATAATGAAAAATGTAAAAAAGTTAATTTCAACACTCACAAACTATATTGATATTGACCATGCAGCTGATCAGCTGGGTAAAAGTTTTATGCATGATGCAATGCCACCAGTTTTATCAAAACCAGAGGTTATGTTAACTTCTAAAGGTGATGGTGACTACATGAAAAATGGAAGAGTGTTTAATAGGTATGTTATAAGTATTTAGTTTTACACATTAAAAGCTGCCTACAAAACACCTCTAAAAACCGAGTTAGGTCAAAGACTAAATATACTTCTGGGAAGGGCATATTTAATCTCTAACCTAAACCAATCAAAAGTCTATTTATAGTAATAGCAAATAACCACTTTAATCCAATTAAACAGGAAAGTAGAAACTTGTTAGATTTGTAAATATTTTTAAATTTAGATGACCAAACTTTTCTTTAAAAAATTGTCCCTGTAAATATACAAAATACCCAAGGCCCTTGATCAAGGGCCTATTTTAATAGTTATATAAATTATAAAAGTTGTGCTTAAAATTTGTTACATACAGGGTTACAGGAATTTTAAGTTAACGCTTTTTTAACAGCGGGTAGAAATCAAATAGACAAACAGCCTTTTACTTAAAGTTTAATTCAACTGACATAGATAACTTAAAATATTTGTAATTAAATTTTAAGGTAGGACTTAATTATTGTTAAGAATGGCTCATAATTGTAACAATAATAATCCAGTGGACATGTTATTAATTTATGAAGTGTCATAAAATGCCGCGGGTGCATCGCGATTCGGAATAGTTTCCCTAACCCGATTAATTCGCGCCCTCGGGCATTTTTTAATCCTGTTCAAAGTGTTGGGGAAACTGGTAGTTTAAGAGATCGGGAGAAAAACATTTTCAGGTTTAAGACAAATTTTTTAAAACTGCAAGAAAATATCTTAAAATCTTCAAAATCGTTTTTCCGTTAATGTTAATTGAACCTAGTATTCTACCAAACCGTTTAAACGTCGGCGACTTATGTTCTGAGCTGCCTCATTTTTTTGCAAGATAGCTTTACCCTGATTTTCGACATCCTGTCCAAACCCCATTATTATAAATATCCTTTAAATGTGTTCATATTATAGAACAAACTGCTTTAAAGAAGCCCAATATCATTAAAAAGTGCTTTAAAAGGGATTCCACAATTTAAAAAAGGTGGTTTGAATAAGTGGAATGCATGCATTTGCAAGGGGGTGTCCGCATTTAGGCACAAAGTATGCATTGCATTTTTTGTGCAAATTTTGCCAAAATATTTACACTAAATTATTTTTTGAATAATATGTACAATAAATCAAGTAAAATAATTAATTTAAAGGTTCATATATTTCGTTATAATATTATAACGAGAAATATATATTTTAATTCATTATAATGATTATAATAATAATTATTATTATAATATAATATATACACATACATATATATATATATTAGGGTGGCCCAAAAAAAAAAGAATATTTTTTTTCTTCTCGTCTCTTGTGAAAATATGTTGGTTTGTCATGTTTTAAGAGCCCTGTCAAAAGATCAGCACCATTAAAAATTTTTTAGGGGTCGCTCAAGATTTTTAAAAATTACCAAAATCGTCAAAAATTGGATTTTTTTTTATTTTATTTTTTTTTCTCGTTCCGATATTATTTTTTAATTTAAAAATAATAAAATAATAATGATTCTGAAAATTTCAAATCAGTTTTTTTGAATTTTAATTTTTTTTCTCGTTCCGATATTATTTTTTAATTTAAAAATAATAATGATTCTGAAAATTTCAAATCAGTTGCGTCTTGACTCTCGAAGTGTAAGGATGCTTAAAGATAGTTACGCAGCAGCGTATACGATACACACGTAGTAAAGTATCAAAGTGAATCTAAGTTTGCGGAAATACCGGTAATCGGTAATAAATAAATAAATAAATAATAATCAAACAAGTGCAACAATTGCGAAAAGTGCGCCGTAAAATAAAATAAAAAAAAAATCAATATCGATTCTACACGTGATAACTGGTTAACGCCGTAAAATAATAAAAAAAACAATATAGATTCTACACGTGATATCCGTCCCAAGTGCAAAAGAGTGCAAATTGTGTGTGGTACCTCCCCCTGGACTGTCCTCAAGTGTTTGACCTGATTAAAAGGTGTGAGAGAGACGATCAGTTCCAATGAAAATTTTCTGGGCTACGACACGTGCGGGCGGCATACGATAAGGATCAATTTTAGCACACTGCCTGGCAATATCCCGAAGTCCAAGTCTGCATAAACTAGATAAGTAGCTACCAAATTGCATGAACATGACCAGTGGTAATTTTACCTGAAGAATTATTGTTAGTTAAAGGTTGCGTATTTCGAATTAACTAGTATTAATATTATTGGGTGGTCATTGACCATCCAATAATATTAATACTAGTTAATTCGAAATACGCAACCTTTAACTAACAATAATTCTCCAGGTAAAATTAATTAGTCGCAAACAATTTAGAAGATTCTCATGCAAATGAAACAGTAAAAAAAACGATAAACACAAGGGCACATAAGAAACCATTAATCACTCAAGTTACGATAAACATTAGGCAAAAGAAACCATCCTAAAGAAATTATTTATTTATGTTTACATCTATAGATTACGAAGACGTAAGGGGTCATAAATTAAGTAAAAACCGTTAAGTAAGCGTACGCACAGTGGGAAAAAATAAATAATTCGAGGGTCGACAATTCCAGTAGGTTAAACGAATTTCCACATAGTCAGAGGGCACTAATTACGGCGGGGTACGGCCGGCAACACTTCGGTTCTGAAGATAAGACTCAACGCACAGGGGGGCAAACAATTCTAAAGCGGCTATCAGGAACCGAAATCCGACTCGGACAGCGACGAACAGGAAGTACACCATCAAGGAAAGGCGCTAGCAGCATACTAATCCACCCACCCCCATTCAGGAATACCAAATGAATGGGGTTATTACTAAAGCCCTGGTTAAGGAGGATTCCGGATTGTACTTAGTTTTGGGTCAGTTCAATGTCCTCCAAAAACCCTTCCTAAACTGGACGTATGGCCCGACCCGGCTGACAAAAATTCCGGGAGCGGCCTTAACCTCTGACACTGTCATCCACGACCTCCTAGGGTGGATCTACCAGCCGGCGTAAAACTTCGGATCCAACAAACACAGGTAATGCTGTGATTTGGCGGGATACGCAGGAGAACGGAAAGGGGGTAAAATAACCCCGGGAGATAGTGGATGATAATATATTTGGGGCCTGCCATACGTTCCCATACTCATACTCATACTCATACTCATAATGATTCTGAAAATTTCAAATCGATATTTTTATTTCTAAAGGTCGCTCAAGATTTTTTTAACTTTCAAAGTAGAGTATTTTGAATGTTTTGGAGCGACCTCTGAATATAAATATCAACGAACTTTTAGCGACCTTTAGAAATCAAAATATTGATTTGAAATTTACAGAATTTTTATTATTTTCAACCTAAAAAATAATATCGAGACGAGAAAAAGAATTAAAATAAAACAAAAATTCAATTTTTAACGATTTTGAAAATTTTTAAAAATCTTGAGCGACCCCTACAAAATTTTTAATCGAGCTGATATTTTGACAGGGCTCTTAAAACATGACAGACCAACATATTTTCACAAGAGACGAGAAGAAAAAAAAAATTCTTTTTTTTTGGGCCCCCCTTAATATATACATATATATATATATATATAATATATATATATATGTATATATTAAGGGGGGCCCAAAAAAAAAAGAATTTTTTTTTCTTCTCGTCTCTTGTGAAAATATGTTGGTCTGTCATGTTTTAAGAGCCCTGTCAAAATATCAGCTCGATTAAAAATTTTGTAGGGGTCGCTCAAGATTTTTAAAAATTTTCAAAATCGTCAAAAATTGAATTTTTATATATACATATATATATATATTAGGGTGTTTCAAAAAAATAAAAAATTTGCCTCAATTCATTTTTTGTTTTTCCATTTAAATAACACAGGAATTTTTATTTTTTTAATTTTGAATTCTTATAACTTTGGAATGGTTTGTTTTCGCAACACCCAAGCGTTATAGAGTTATAGACAAATTCACGCTCTACAAAAAACATCTGAAGGTCAAAGTTCTTCAGATCAACCGTTTCAAAGATATCAGCGATCAAAAATAACACTAATAAAAAATTTCAAATATTTTCAAATAAAATATATTATATATATATATATATATATATATATATATATATATTTTATATTTTATATGTAAAATCACTTTAATGCTGTTGCGGTAGAGATGCCACTGTGGTTCTCGACCACTGTCGTTTTGGCCTCGGCCACGCCTGGAAATGTACTTGGGCACTTTAAGCTCGCCTGAGCTACAGTCGTATGCAAATAAAAAGCGTACAGCCTTAGAATGAGGTACTGCACTTGTCAAATATGGCGAGTTGGGTTATAAAAAATACAGTGCCGTAAATGTAAACCAGCCAACAGTTAACTGACGGCTGGTTTACATCTACGGCACTGTATTTTTTATAACCTAACTCGCCATATTTGACAAGTGCAGTATAGTTGAATTTTTAAGTCATGAGCCCTACGGCAACAATGTCAAGCAACTGAATCAAATCGAGGGCAAAATCAGTGGCGTATATACGTATATACGTATGGTGTATACGTATGGCGTATATATCGTGGAGTTTTATTTGGGGTTCGAAATGTTGTATACGTATGCAGTCCATTATACACGTTTGTGCTTTGGGTTGCGAATCAAAATATGAGAATCGTATTTTGCCTGGCTTAAACTATATTATGATTCGTTTTAACTTAAATCCTTCATTTGAACGTTCAAATTTATTACAACAGTAACTCTTATGTAATTATATTATTAAATATAACGTTGTAATTTATATATATTAAATTATTGTAATTTTAAATTATATAGTTTGCGTTACCCATTCTGCGTGGAGAAAATATACTTTGCAAATTTTCAAAATATGTATGTTAATTAATTTGGAAATATTAATATTTGTATAATGCACAATGGTTAAGATATTATTTTATATAATCATTTAGTTGTGGAGATTGCACACGCCAATAAGCTCAAATGGAGACAAAAATGGGACGTCTAATTTTTGTTTAATAGTAAAATGCAATATACTCTGAAAAATATTGGTTTATTTAATAATTTAA